CGCCGCGCCGCTGGCAAATGGCGGACAAGATGGCGGCGGGTCAGCTGACGGCGGCGCCCCGGCCCCGCGGCCCGCCCCCGGAAGCCCTGCCTCCCCATAAGCCCCGCCCCTCCACCTCCGGGACGCCACGTTTCCCTGACGACGCCAGGCCGCCCAATGGAGACGCGGACAGCGCGAGCCGCGCCCGCTCGGCCCCGCCCACTTGAGCTCAGGGATCTTCCCTCTCATTGGTCAGTGGCCTCCGGGACTCCACCCACTTCCTCATGCAGGCTTTTTTTTAACCACGCTCTCTAGGACCGCCTCCCTGCCCCGCCCCTCAGCTAAGTGACAGGTGTGGGCGGGGCCTGCTGTGGGCGGGGCGCCCACGTGGAGCTTCTCCGGCAAGTTCCTGGAGAATCCAGCTCCGCCTTTTCTGGATCTAAAAGCTGACGCTGCTTGAGAACCTCCAAAGGTGACGCTGCAGTGAACGGATTCTGTGTCTCCAGCATGTCTCACAAAATCCTGTGATGTGGGCAGGACAGGAATTAACAAGCCCGTGGAGAAACTGAGGCCCGGAGCTAGGATTCTAACACAGTCATTCACTGAACATTTATTGAGGGTTTACTGTGTGCCAGGCATGGCAAGTGAATGAGAGACCCTTGGTTCCCGTCCCCTGAATACACCATTAAGAGTAAGAAAGCAAGCCGCTAACTGGAATAAGATATTTGCAATACGTATATCCAACAAAGGACTTATATCCACAGTATAGTTGACGAACAGAAAACAAGGCAAAACAAAAATTCCTGCAAATCACGAAGAAGACAACCCAGATAAAACATGGCAAAAGATGAACACGCACTCACAAAAGTAAACATTCAGGTAGCCAATAGGTATAATGCAAAAACGTGCTGTATCTTATTAGTCATTAGGGAAACTTCTATTTAAACCACAATGAGATGCCTCTATACCACTATGAGAATGGCTAAAATTAGAAAGACTGACAATATCAAGTGTTGCCAGGATGTGGAGCAACTGGAACTCTCCTCTCTTACACTCCAGGTAGGCATGCAACACTACACAGTGACATAGGAAACCTGTCTGGCTGTATCTTTTAAAGCTAACATATGTATACCCTATGACCCAGAAATCCCACTATTGTTCCCAACAAGAATGCATAAATACATCCACCAAAGACCTGGACAAGAATGTTCACAGTAGCTATATTTATATTAGCCCCAAATCCAAAACAACCCAAATGTCCATCAATAGAAAACTGATATATAACTTGTGGTATATCCAGACAATAGAATGCTATGCAGCGATGAAAAGGGACAAATTACTAATACACTGAAAAAAATGGATGAAATGCACAGACACAATGTTGAACAAAGTAAGCCAAACACACAAGAGTGTACACAGGGGCTGGCCCCGTGGCTTAGCGGTTAAGTGCACGCGCTCTGCTACCGGAGGCCCGGGTTTGGATCCCGGGCGCGCACCGACGCACTGCTTGTCCGGCCATGCTGAGGCCACGTCCCACATACAGCAACTAGAAGGCTGTGTAACTATGACATACAACTATCTACTGGGGCTTGGGGGGGAAAAAAAAGAGGAGGATTGGCAATAGATGTTAGCTCAGACCCGGTCTTTCTCAGCAAAAAGAGGAGGATTAGCATGGATGTTAGCTCAGGGCTGATCTTCCTCACAAAAAAAAAAAAAAAGAGTGTACACGGTATGATTCTATTAATGTGAAGTTTAATTACAGGCAAAACTAGTCTATGATGAAAGAATTAAGTAACTGGTCAGGTTATATCACTATACAAGGGAGAACTGGAAACTAGGTGACTAATTCTGGCATCTCCGTGTGATGGATTCCTGACCAGCTCTTAAAAAGAATGAGATAGGTTACTGCTGTGGGAATTGCCTTCCACCCTAAGCAGCTAGAGAACTGGACAAAATATACGAAACGATGGCTTTCAGACAGCATACAAGAGGTAGTGCAGGACTATAATCCCTGAGAGAAGGGAAACAAACAAGATGAGCCCTACAATTGCTCCAGAGTTCTGCCCATAGGCAATTCCCAGGCTGTAGGTCAGGGAGGGGAAACCTAAACAGAACACAGTGGTTTCATGAATTGAGGGGACAGAGATGGGAGATGAGGGAGGCCAAGGTGGCTAGAATTTGCCAGGCAATGTACTGGGGAGCAAGGAACTATACTGAGAAAGGGCTAGTGAATTTTCACAGGGGTCCCCTTGAGTCTTTGGCGGGGCATCAAACTGCATGTGTATACGGAGAAACTTCACTAGGCCAGGCAAAGAACAATGGCTGGGGAAAGGACAATCCCCAAAGCTCACTCAGTCTGTGAATGCTTGGAGAAGCCAAAATGGAAAGAATTCATTGAGTGAGTGGGGCATCCAGTAGAAACCTCAGAAGACTTATGCCCTCCTGCAAGGCTAAACTAGCCCTATAGCGAAGTCTATTACAAACCTGCCCTAAAAAAGATGTTTAGTCTCAAAGGGATGAAATAATCCATAAGTAATTTTACTACCAGCCAGAAGAAATCCAATATTCTCTAAAGGAAAACAACAAAACCCAGGATTTGTTAACATAAATTAATCCATCATTCATGCTGATAAGCATTCAATAAAAAATTAGTAGATACGTGAGGAAGCAAGAAAAGATAACCCATAGCCATGAGAACAAAATGGGTAAATATAAATGGACCCCAAAATGACAGAGATGAGGGAATTAGCAAAGATGATACGACAGCCACTATACATATGCTCAAAGATTTCAAAGAAACATGTATGCAGTGAAGAGAGAAAAAGGAAGATTTTAAAAACGAACCAAATGGAGCTTCTGGACCAAAAAACTGCAATACATGAAAAAAATGTTCATTGCATGGAATTAGCAACAGATTAGACACTGAGGAAGAAAAGATTAGTGGAATTAAAGACTTCATAATAAAAACTATCAAAAATGAAGCACACAGAGGACAAAAATGCTTACAAGATAAACAGAACCTCAGTGACCTGCAGGACAATATCAGGTAATATAACATACATGTAATTGGAGTCCTAGAAGGAAGGAGAGAGAGGAAGGGCAAAAAAAAGAATGGAAGAATAAATGGCCAAAAAATTTCCAAATATGATGAAAACTATAAACCTACAGATATAAGAAGGTCAATGAACTAGAAGAAAAGTAAACATAGAGAAACGCATACCCAGGCACATCATAATTAAAATGTTACAGACCAGAGATAAAGAAAAAAAAAACTTTTTTAACTCCAGAGGAAAAAAAAAAACACACACATACACAGGAACAAAAATAAGAATGACTGATATTTTTATCAGAAACAATTCACACCATAATGGACTAATATCTTTTATGTATCGAATGAAACAACAAAAACATAGAATTCTGTACCCAGCAACAATATCTTTCAAAAGTGAAGGCAATACATATTTTTGGACAAATAAAAGCCAAGAGAATTTGTGATCAGTAGACCTACATTAAAAGAAATGTTTAAGGAGGTTCTTTGAACAGAAGGAATATAATACTAAACAGAGATATGGATCTCTGCAAAGGGATGAAGAGCACAAGAAATGTTTAAAATGTGGTGAATGTAATTATTTCTTAATTTTTTAAAATGATAATTGACTCTTTAAAGCAAATATAACAGCAACATATTGTGAGATTTATTTTATAACATATTGAAGTAAATAATGATATATAAAGAATGGGAGACAGAAATGGAAATGTACTTCTGTAAGGGTCTTACATTATATGTGAAGTAGTACGTTGTAACCACAGAAAAATCACTAAGAACAAAATAAAGAGGAATAACTAATAAGACAATTATAGTATAAAATGGAATAATTAAAAAAAATAGTCAATCCAAAATAAGGCAAATGAAGAGGAAAAAGATTACAAAGAACAGAAGCAACAAACAGCAAAAGCAAGGTGGTAGCTCTATACCCAACCCTATCGAAACTGCCATTAAGTGTGAATGCTCTAAACACTAATTCAGAGCTGAAACTGTCAGCATAGCCCCAAACACGTGTTGTCCACTTTAAATATAAAGACATAGATAGTGTAGTAAAAAGATATAACCAAAACAATTTCAAAAAGAACAAGATTGAAGGACTACCTATTTTTAAGACTTACTCTAAACCTATAGTAATCAAGACAGTGAAAAGACAAAGGAGAGTCAAAAAAATAGACCCACGCCTTTATGATCAATTGATTTACAACAAAGGTGCTAAATAACTCATTGGGGAAGAGAATAGTCTTTTCAACAAATGATGCTGTAACAATTGAATATCGAAAAGGAAAAAAAAAGTTGTCCTTGACTATTAATGAGCACCATATACAATTTTAACTCAGAATGGATCATAGACCTAAATGTAAAAGCTAAAAGTGTAAAACTTCTGGAAGAAAACATGTGACTTTGCTTAGGCAGATTTTTTTGATAGGATGCAAAAAATGCAAAGCATTTTTTGAAAGTGAGAAGATGGACTTTATCGAAATAAAATTTTGCTTTTCAAAAAAATGTTAAGATAATGACAAGACAGGGGCTGGCCCCGTGGCATAGTGGTTAAGTGCGTGTGCTCCGCTGCTGGTGCCCTGGGGTCGGATCCCCGGCGTGCAACCAATGCACCACTTGTCAGGCCATGCTGTGGTGGTGTCCCATATAAAGTGGAGGAGGATGGGCGCAGATGTTAGCCCAGGGCCAGTCTTCCTCAGCAAAAAGAGGAGGATTGGCATGAATGTTAGCTCAGGGCTGATCTTCCTCACA